TGATGCTTCCAGATAGAGTTTTATGCAAATCAATGTGAGGAAAAGGTAAGCTGCAGACTAACATAAAGTGAATAGTAGATTTTAGGTTGATTTCAATCAAATATTGTGCTTTAATGGAAGATTAAATTCTTACAGGCAGGCACTGAAAAATTATTTTTAACTGAAGCTTCTTTAGTATGTGACACAGATCCTTAGGAGAAAGGTGTATGACTCAGGAGTGTCTATCATGCCACCAGTCTCCTACCAGCATATTGCGGACATTCCTGGCATTTGGCCATGGCTCAGCTCCCATTCACGGCCCTTCCCAGCCAGGCTCCGCACTCAGCCCCTGCCAGGAGACCGGCTCCCACATCTCTCACTCACTCACTCGACTCTCAAAAACCCCCCTCTGTGCTGCTTCCTACCCTGCCCTACACACTTGGAAAAGGCTCCTCAGAAGCAACTGCAGTGTAACCTATTACTCCCCCTTCAAAGATTTTAATAATCTCCTCTTCTACAACACCTACCAAAGCTTGACAAGGGGTATCTAATATTAGACTGCTGATGGGTTGTGGACACTGCTATCAAGATGACCGATAATACCTCATTGTTTCTTCTTGCTTCCCGTCTCTCTGTCTGTCTGGTCTTCCTTCCTACACTGAGATCATAAGAGCTCTGGGATAGAAACAGGTTTTTTTGATCTGAATTTATACATTATTTAGCAAAATGGGGCTGGGCTCTGCAAGCAGGAGTGCTGCAGAAAAATAAAAAGTAAACACAGTATCATGAATTACAGTCCATTTTACTAATAGGTTGAAATGACTTCCCGAAGAAGGTTTAATGGTGACCACTTTCTCCCTGGTAGAAACCTTTTGCATAAGGATCACTTTAAGGCACAAACGTTGTTATAAGTACCAACAAACAACAATTCAAACAAAAAAGAAATATATAAGGAAAAGTAAACTAATCTCTGCCCAAACATAACAAATACCTCTCAGTGACAGAGTTTTATAAGACTACACACAGAAAAATAATAAATGAAAGAAAGTGTGGAGACCACATCCATTCATCCTAAACCCTGTGCAACCTGAAAACAACCTATTTATTAAGGCTGGCAGAAAATATTTTGTACAAGCTGTTTTTCATGGGTAATGTGGAATTCAGCAAAACAACATCTTTCACAGAAAGAACATTTCGGATTTTCATCAAAAGTCTTCGTTTAGTTTTGGCTTTGTTTGACAGAAAATGGAGGAGGGGGGAAGGAGGAGAGAAGCAGATTTGGGAGCAAATCTAAGCCAACCTTACCAGAATGCCCTTACACTAGTTAATCTGAGTGCAGTCATGGAATAATTCATTACTTCTGCATGGAAAGCCTTTTTGCTATGTTTCTTGGCTTATTGTCAGAAAGGACAAAACAGACCTAAGGAGTATGTTCCAGAAAACGATGGGACTTGGGGAAACTGCACATAGAGTCATCCAGGACAGTGGCACTCTGTGTGTAAACCCAGCGAAAGCAATCTGCCACTCTTGGAATACGATGATTCAAAGACAGCAGAGAGAGAAGGAAAAGTGATACTCAAACTGTGGCAGTTTATGGAGCAGGACTGTCACTCAGTGCAAAAGAAAATTCTCTGCTCTCAGGAAACAACTGTGGGAATACCACACTACCATCCAGGATCAGCTCCCTCTGCCAGCAAATGCAAACCCAAAGCACTTGTGTATGTGTATGTTATGACCTGTACAAGCACCACTGTTAATACATTTGTAGCATGGTCACAAACCTTTTATTTTACTTCAGGGAAAGCTTTTTGGAAATGAGTGCAGCAAAGAATCTGATCCTTTACCACGTTATTTCACTTTGACACTGCTGTATTTCTGCTAGGGTCAATGGTGTATCTAACATCAACATAAAATGATTATGTAGTCCCAACGTTTCATTATTAACATCATGTTCCTCCTTCTGTGAAGCTGAACTTTAGCTTTCAAATAATACTTCTTCCAAATTCCAGGCTGGTACAGTTTGATTTGCAAGGCCTTTTGTAAGAAAAGGTGTGAAGCCTGCAACCTGAATATATACTCCAATTCTCTTCTCTTTGTCAGTTTAGACTCTTCAGTTGTACCCACATCCATACTAACTGAGCTGCTAATTAACTTTTAAATATGTTGCTGATAGGCAAATCCTCATAGTTTAACTCACACACACAAAAATTATACGCTTGCACATGACAGCTGAGAAACTATAATTTTAAATAAATCATTGCCATCAATTTTGCAAGGAGAAGTAGAGTTTTTGAAATTTCTAGTAGAAGTGAAAATATAAAATGACAACTGTTTGGTGGCAAGTTCATTTCAGAAAACTGTGAAATAAAATTTAACCTCAAAGTCTAAGCTTTGAAGTATCTGACTTCCTATCCCACAGCATCCTGGATACCCACCTACGCTGGCAAACTGACAGCTCTCAAGCTGACACCAAGCCATCCAGCTTCTGTGCCGGGGCTCCCAGCCCTATAGCGAAGAGCCTGCCTTCCAGGAAGCCCTTCCCAGGGCAGTCTGCGTGCAGCTGTTCCCAGAGGTCTCGGAAATCCAGAGTCCTTGGCAATGGCCAGCCTTCCAGTTCTGGTGAACCAGACTTCCCAGTAACAAACTGTCATGTTAGAAATCGCCCAGCCAACGCAAACCCAAAGTGAAACAGGGTTTTATCATGCTGGGATTGCTGGTAAAATGCTATTTAAACACAAGCCAGAAAAAACCTTAAGTGACTGAAAATAATTTAGCTTCCCTGAACCTGCTTCCTCCAAATGGGTCCGCATTTTACAAATTTATACCCTTACAGAAAACACTATATGAGAGAAAATGCTGAGAAAAGTAACATAGTTTTTAGCATGCTCCTATCAAAACATATGCCAACTAAACCGAACAGAACATATATAAATAACAATAAAAATTAAAAGCAAACAAGCTGGCAAGTCCATTACATCATCTGCAGTTTTCCCAGTCTGACAGATAAACTACATTGTTATCCTGCAGTTATTTACTTCTTATGCCTCGCACCTATTTCTGACATATTAAAATGAAAATTGTGCTACAGAGGTAAACTAATGGGAAACTTTGATGAAAGTATATGAGCTTTAGGTCATAATTATAGTGTGACTCCTAGAAGAAACTGAAGAGGTGAAAAATTAAACTGAATTCCAGAAACTGCAGGTTAGACATATTTTTGCTAACGGAAATGTGGAAAAGAAAAAATTTTCTCTATTTTGACTATATGAACTAACCTAATTTGGTTTACTACTTTGGAGAAGCACGTGTTAAAACATTTTTAAAAACCTCTTAGGTATTTCTCATATACTCTGATAGCTATGGGATGGTAAGTGTAAACCGAAAAGAAATATCCTCCTTCATCGGCTGGACTGTAAAATTTCAGTCTTACACAGCTGGAAAGCCTGGAGCCTGTTCGGGTACATGGTGTTGATGAAGAAGCAAATCATGGGTCTGTCTGGGCACATTGCAAAACTGTTTCCCAGGCCCTGTCCACTGGAAACAAATGATTAGAGGAGCAAGAAAGGTTCAGACCAAGCTTGCAGAGTTTTGACAGAGCTATGTTTGTATCTGTGTGTATGTAGACCCTTTTGTTGGGAAGGATGAAAACAAATAGTCAGGAAAAGTGTGCACACAATTCAACAAGGGAAATTAGTCCCTTGTTTTCATGAACACACCCTTAATTATTCCTCAATGGAATTTTTATTTTTATTCAGATATAACCTGTCCCAAACACAGAAGAGTAAAAATCTTGAGGATGGCTTCTATTGTAAATATTTTCCATAGCAGCTTCTTACAACAGTGAACAGGTTCAAACTTACTCCTCCTTTCAGTAAAGTCAGTCATCATTACTAACTTTTATAAGATCATGACAGATTTGTACATTTCTTCCCACCTACCAGGCCAGAGAAAAGGAAGGGAGCCCTATGTGGGGGGAATCCCTTTTCAAACAGGCATTAAACCATCCATGAAAGTAATACCATTGTTCTTTGAAAAAAAAACATTGGAACTGCACAATATAAGAAACTGAGTATCCAAAATCCACAATGAAAATTCTGAAGCCCATCCTATCCTCAGCACTCCTAGATCATACATTACAATTTCTCTTCTAAACACAAAGATTTTCACCAAATTCATTGTCACTGCTCAGTATTCAATGAATATGGAAAAGCCACGCACACAGATGCTTGCATAAGAAACCACCTTGATTAAAGCAAACTGCTGTCCTCAATAACTGCATGTGTGTATTCCCAGATGTAATATGCCAGGCTCTCCATTTGTGACAGGGAAAAAGGAAGGACCACTCAGACAAAAACCAAAGCAGCAGCAAACTATATAGCCACCTTCTCCATCGCCTCAGCCATTTTCTATTGTAAGTATGTACCTAAACAGCATTTTAAGAGGGTATGATTATGGAGAATGGGAGGAAATAACATGACAGAAGGAAAAAGGAGCAATTTATCACTATCAGCATAGGTTTCGTTCAGGTACATGGCCCAGCCTTGTCCTGACTGTACTGGAAGAAAGCCAGGAAACATGAGCCAGAAGCAAATTACAGTGTGTCCAACCAAGACACCAGTCTGGACAGCAAAGAGATCAGGAACCCAGAATATGCCACAGCAAGCAACTGCTACACAGATTAAACGCAGCCAGAGACGAACTGCTCCAGAAACCCTTGCAGAATGGACATTATCACTGCCTAGTAGCACTGTGGTCCCAATGCAGGTGCGTTTAGTGTAACTGGGCCTTGAAATGTATGACTGCTGCACAATTAGGTCTGGCTGTGTTTAAGTCAACTTCATTGGAAGTTCACTTGCATTAAGTAACTTATGTTGTTAGGCCTTTGTACACATGTTCAGGGATCAATTGCAGTAAAGCCAACCAAGAAAGGACATGGTCTTCCAATTTCCTTAATGTTTTGCGCAAGGATAAAATCTTCTCCGAAAGAAAACAAGTATTTTAGTGACACTCGCAAGGCCTACCTTGCCCAAACCGGGGGTGTCTTTCACTTTGCTGACTGCCCTCAACAAACATGGTGGTGCAGGGGGTGGGGAAGTCTGAAGGATACTGCTGAAGCTGGTAGAGAAGAGAGGAGATTCAGGAACAGATGATGCAGAAGGCCTGTGCTTCTTCTTTTTGGAAGACAGGTTCAATTTCTGAGCAGCTCTGTGAGAGAAATGACAAAAGCAAGCTAAAACAACACCAAACTCATCAACAGAAGCAGTCAAGAATAAATAAAGGTATCTATCAGGTTACTATTTATGTAGGATCTCAGTTTTAACCTCTCTGATCCCAACAGTTTTATAATTCTGGTTCTTCACTCATTATTACTAGTTTAACGCCACTTCACAAAGTTGCTCCAAATTTACACAGTCTACATTAAGTAAGGTCACAATCAGGCCTCTGTTACTATCTCATCTGTTGAAACAATTCAGCCTGCAAGAAAGCTCCAAAACCTCCAATTAAATCAATGAGCTATATGGCAGCTTCTGTTCTAAAATTAAGTTCAGTCACCAAATGGTTCACACAGAATTGTTTGTCATTCATAAGGCTCTAATTAGAAAATGAATACTTGTGCAATGTTTGGATGTAAGCAGCCACTGTTAAGTTAATTAGTATTAAATGCTGAAGTGAAGTTGCTGAGGTGTAAGAAGCCTTGCACTAGCTGGTTTAAATTTTTATCACCTCTTAAAACATAAGCCAGTCTAAAAACTGAACAAACGGTGACCAATGAAAATATTGCTGTTTGCAATGAGATGGAGACAATCATACCAACTACAGTTGCATTAACCACTAAGCAGGGAAAACAATGAAAACTGTTTTTAATACTACAGTATTCTTAGGTAAGAATGCTGAAGTTTGTATAGACTTTGATTAAAAAGCTAAACTTTTCTGGAACAGAAACATTCAGTACTTTTGTTTTGCAAAATGTTTTCTTTTGAGAGACAATTCAACATTCAGTCTTTGCTGCAGCTGTTCTGTTCCAACACTTGTGCGTTCTGCACTGCCCAGGGATAATGTTAGTACTAATCATGCTGTACCACCGTTTCCCTTTTGTAGAACGAGCACTTTAAACGGAGCAGGTCAACTGGAGCACCGTTTCAAAGGAGAGATGGATATAACAATTCATGAGGCTACTTTCATGTTGTTTGCTTTGGCAGACAAATTGTGACTTAAGATAGGTATAAAAGTAGTCTGTGCTGACAGTAGCTGTCCTTACCTTGCTGAAGTGTGACAGTCAAGACCAATAATTCTAAATCCTCCTAAGTTTTAAGAAGCTTTAGCTCCATTACACTGGTATCAGTATATATTACCCAACACTGAACTTACAAAAGTAATTACATTCTTTTATCCCAAGGAGTCAGGGAAAAAAGACTGAAAATACATATATAGACTCATTTCAGTATGCAAGTACCTTGTGTTTGTATCAGATGTCTCAGACACATGAACAAATTACTGCTGGGCATGAAGTTGCCGTATGTCAGCTGGTCATGTGTGCATTGCCAGTATGTATTCTTTTAGCCTATGGCAAGTGCAAAGCAGTTCCAGATAGATTAGTTTTTAATAAAAGAAAAACACTAGGAGATTTTAATTGACCTGCCAGAGAATTATGACTCAGAAGTTTCTGTACCACCTCCTTGTCCTTGTCCTTCCCTCAGGCCTACCGACTGCAGTTCATAACCTGGCCCTCTCTTTTAAGAGTCTGCTTTCTTTTTGATAGAAAACATAATCAAAATGTGTTGGTCAAAACCAAAGCAAAAAGCATCAGTGTTTCCTTTCCCTAGCAACATTTCAATGGTTTGAGAGGATTCAATGATTTCAGCTTCCACACTGTCCGTCACTAATACTTTTATGTTGTCCAACTTAAAGTTGTCCATGCTGAATCAAGATTTTCTGTATATCATAGCTTCACTATAAAATTATTTTAAGCAAAATCTTGTACTATTGAAAATACAAATGTTGGCCAAACATACTGAAAAATTTACTCCTGTTGTCAAGCTCAGTAGTCCAATCTTAAATATAGGCAGTGGCTCCACCCACTCTGGTCATACACCTGGTCTCATTGACTCACCTCGGGTGAAAATACATTTCCTAAAAACTATTTTCTAAGTTAACTGACAGAGCCATTACCCCTCTTGCCACTGAATGCTTCTCCAGCATTTGCTGTTCCTTTTACAAAGCTGATTGTGTAATATAAACCACGTCTTGACCCAACCAAGCCCATACCTGGCATTTTCTTAAAAGAAAAAACATTGTTGGAGGTACCTGGCCTTTTCAAAACCTTGGAACTATATTCTAGTTTGACAGTTATAACCTTTGAGATTACATTCAAATAGAAGAACCTGCATTTTCCTTTATATTTTTGGTCTGCAACTGGCAAAATATATGAAAAGGCAATGAACTATATCTCACAACTTCATGGGGGTTTCTGTTTTTCCCCAAGGAGAGAAAATCAATGCATGGCAGGCTAGAAAATCATTTACAAGCCCTGAATTTTGAAGGGGATCAAAAAGGCAATAAGCTTCAGGTAATTCCCACAGCATTTATCTGGGAAGAGAAGGATATTTTAACCAGATGTAGGCTGCAATATGACACAAACATATACAGTGTGGCTTTCTTGTGAGCACATTTGCGTGAGTAAAATCATTCAGCTTGAGTGGCTAGCATCGCTCTGAACACAGTTGGTCATGCCAGCTGAAGCTGATTTGGCCCTGTGATCTAGCATAGGAGGTTAGAAATTCTCACATTTTACTTTTGAAGGCAAGTCAGAGGCCTGGCTCTCCCATGCAGACTCTGAGGACCACCAGACTTCTCAGGCAAAGCATCAAGCTGGACCTTGGGAGACCTGATGCCACTGCAGCGCAGGGCCTGCCCAGCCCAGCCCAGCCCAGCCCAGCCAGCAGCTGTTTAGACTCTGCTCTTTGTACAGGAGCCAGCTAATGTGTTTTCATTTAATATCCAGTATAATAGGACTCTGATTTCCACTTGAGACTATGCATACTACTGCAGTAATGGTAATGGCGATGATGGCAGCATGGCTTTATGTATTGAGCATAAGCTGATCATGCTCCAAGTTATGTTACATCCCACTTGAGCCAAGTGGTATCAGCTATGAACTATGCAGGGTGCGCAGTGGCCTCCAGTGCAATGCAAACCACTTCCACAGCGCTCGGTACGGCTGTGGTAGGGATTGTGTCCACAGAGACACACAAGGAACTTGATCCAAATTAAATTTTTGAAGGGTGTAATTTAAACTGTATTAGGCCACTGTGTGGACACACTCATTCACAACAGAACTGTCTTTAATGTCATTTTACTGAATTATCTTCCGAAGTAATGCAGATTTAATCCAGTTTAGCTAATATACTTTGGATTCACACCTTCAGTTCATTTTGATTATTTTTTCCTGAGAGTCCCTATGTAAAGAAGCAGCTGGAGACTTTTTGAAAGCTTACAAGTTCTGTGGCAGAGGAAATAATCACAAGATCAAGATCTGAGATTGCAGGAGGCTCATTAGAAAGATGATTAAAGTTCAATCCAAATACAACTGATGGATTGCTGGCAGGAAAGGGGAATTGCTTTGAATGTCCACCTGATCCATAGTAAAGACTGAAGTCATTTCTTGGAAGGACATTGTCTGCTTTTTGTTTTTTAAAATACAAGTTTAATAAGGTATATCTTTGGGCAGTCAGAACGCTTTTCACCTCCTGCCTCTGCAGAAATGGTGATATATTTTTTCCCTTAAAAATCCATGGGCAGGCTGGGATTTTCAAACATATTCACTGCAGAGCTAACTCCCTACACTGGAAGCCAATTCATGACTGATATGAACTTCCTGAAAGCTGAAGATCCTCTGTGGGATTCATTGAAGAAATGAAGAATCTGAGACGTGAGAGGGCAAAGTATGCTCTTTGGAAACTTGTCTAGAGACAGGAATGAACAGAAATGGATTAAATAATCCATTAAATCCATTAAATAATAAATTAGGGCTGATGCAAAGATCTCTGCTAAGAAAATTATTCATACTACTTATAAGCAATACAAGAATGAAGTTGGTGAAACTCTTTAGACAAAATAAAAGGCATTATGGAAAGCTCTGTAAATAACTTGCTTAGAGAAGTCATTGATAACTGGGCAATGGTAACAGTACAACATACATAAGGAAGCACTGTGGAAGGAACAGTTTGAAAATTCATGGTTTCTGAATTAACTTTGGCTGCTCACAAAAAGCAACTTCAAAAACTGAGGACAAATCCATACATCCACTTGTTACTAAGCAATAGTCAGGGGAGGAAAAAAACCCCAAAACAACAAAACAAAATGCTGTGATACAGCACTTAAAGAAAAGAACAATAAATAAAGCCTTCCTGCAATACATAACGCTCGTGTGCCTCCAGCTCAAACAGAGTAGACTGGGGCCTCATTTGGCAAAAATTCGTATAAGATGATGAACTTCAGTGAGCCTGGCTATGCCAACTCATGGCATATTTACTTCCTCTCACTTAAGTAAGAAAACAGACACTGCTAATAAAATTCAAGGGACACCTATTTAGCTTGATAAAGGAAATTATTTTTTCACCAACACATCATCTAAGGCAAAATTAAAACATTAGGACTCACTGTCAAAGTAGAGGTCATACGGCCAGCAGGTTCATTAGATTCAGAAAGAGATTAGACATTTAAGTGAATAATTAAAATATTATTAACACTTGTGTCAGCAAAAATCATCATTGATAAGTTACACTGACTCTCACGCTTCAGTACCTGACACGCCCCTTCACCGCTGACATCTGAAGAAATTTCCTTAGGTGCATATCTCTGTATAATTATTCATTACTGGAGTTTCATATTACACTATGATGCACCCAGTACTTATCACCCTTGGAAACAGAATTCCAGATCATAGGGGCCAGTGAGCTGGCATATCAATTTCTGTGTCAAAATAAAAATTGAAAATATGCTCACTTTCGTATCATATTTTCCACACAGAAAATGGCTCTCAAGACGTGGAGGCTAAACAGGCATGTACTAGCTAACTTGAATGTAAATATTTGCAATTTTCCTTAAAACTAAAAATCTATTTTTCTTTTTTATTTGAAGGCATAAATTTCATTTTAAGACAATACTCTCCGCTGGGTGCACTGTTCAAGGAGTAAGCTATGAAC